TCAAACCTCATTGTTGCTCAGTCCTTCCTATCAATGACCCAAGCAATAGGAACTTCTTGGACTTTCTTTACATTCGGGGTCATTTCGGTGGTAGCCTTAATCTTTGTCCTAGTCTGTGTGCCTGAAACAAAGGGGCTGCCCATTGAGGAGATTGAGAAGATGCTGGAGCATAGAGCATTTCACTTCAAGTTCTGGAAGAAAAGATCTAATACATTAAACATGAACCAAACAGGGTGAACAAAATAGTAGGAAATTTATCTTGATAATAGCAAACATGAAAAATCAGACCCTGTGTTTAGCAAGAGTGCATTTAATTAGATATAAGGAATGACTGTAGCCTTGCACTCTCTTTGATAGGAACAAACCGCAGAAGTTTAATCTGTGAGGGTACATGATATAGGGAACGGCTGTATCCTTGCACTTTCTTAGTAGGAGATCCAAATAAGACATGTTGAATTCAATTTTAACAGATCAAGACTGCATTTACAAGGCAACGATTCTGCTAATAAGGAGAAATTCATTACAAATTTAAATTAAAATTTTATTATGGTGAAGTTTGAATTTCACATAAATGGTCTATTCTAAAAGAGTTTTTGTTATATAATATTGAAATTAAATTTAAATAAGATTTTTTAATTTTGTTTATCTTTTAAACAAAGTAAAAAATTTAATTTGAATTTATTTAGTTTTTTGTTTTTGGCTAATAATAAAAAATAAATGAATAATCATCATTTTCATTTAAAGAAAAAAATATTAAACTCTCCAAATAAAATCACAATTTAAAATTAAATTTTAAAAAGGAAAAGATTAAAATCAACTAATAAATAGAAGAGTTTTCTAAACATTAATAAATTTTTGTTATTTTCCAATTTTTGGGCATTAATGCATTTTGGGTTTTAATGACAACAAAATTTAATAAAGTATATAAGTTCTATTGATTTATTAATTTAAACTTCAGGAAGATAATACAATATGATTAATTACAAATTTAGATTAAAAATTTAATAAAGTGAAGTTTAAATTTAAAATAAATGACCTAATTTAAAGGAGTTTTAATTATATAAGTTTTAAATTAGATATAAATAGCACTTTTTAATTTTATTTATCTTAAAAAAAAAAAGAAATAACCTTAATTTGAATTTATTTAGTTTTCAGTTTTAACTAACAATAAAAAGTAATGCATGTTCACTATTCTAATTTAAAAAATTTTATTGAAACCTTCAAATAAAATTAAATTTAAAAAATAAAAAATTAAGTTCAATTGATAAATAAAATAGTTACATATAATAAATAAATACTAATAAAAAGTTAATTCTGTTTTAATTTTTAGGCCTTAATATATTTTAGGCTTTAATAACAATAAAATTTAATAAAAAGTATTGATTAATAGTATTAATATTGATAAGAAGTATTGATTAATGTATAATTAGTTACACTACCTATATTAAA